AAGCGCCGAAAAGCATTTTTGAAAAAAAAACTTATTTGAAACAGAACATGACGTGCCAGCCCAAATAAGTGAGCCGAAACGATATCAGTAAACAGCCCAATAACACAAATCTCGACAAGAACGGGACCCTCCAAAACCGAAAGAAAACAACACATAAAATCCCGTTCTGTTTTGGCCCGCTTTGACCCTCAGGCTGAAGAATCGGTGCTCCTTCATAATTTACCGGACAGAAGCGGGGTTTGCAGGCTTGCAGCCGTAAGTGGAGGACTAAGCCCGCTTCATCCGCAAAACGGGCTTGAATTTGGTTCCAGCGACAGAATCTAACCAGAGCGCACTAGTAGCCTTCTTAGTTTTCCGGCTGGCCCATGAGCGCCTTTTTTTTATATAGGGAAATTAGCCTCCAGCTTGTCGGCGATGAACAGTGAGTTGAAGCAATCGAATTCTCAGAGTCAAAGCCCCGCTTACAAACTACGACAGACCTAGCAAGAAACGAGTCAAAAGGTTGGGATCTTGCACCATAGCATCAGCTGTAATCATTCCACCCCAAACAAGTTGCTGCGCTAGCTCTGATTCCTTCGGTTTTCATGGCATTGCTATAAAAGAGATTAAAACGAACGCCTGGCCGGAAGGCCCCCGTAAGACGAGCGAAATGTGGCGGAACACAAGTTTAATCAACACATAAGCTACTTTATTCCAGTCTCAGAAGCGCGGGAATAATGCAAGTTCGTGGCGTCGTTCTCGATGGGGGGCTGCGTGCGGCGAAGATAAGACACCGTTTACGTGTGGGAATAAGCGACGCGCCAATGGCAATCGAAGAGAACACATGCACGAGGCCCTCCTCCGTTGCTCATGCCGAGGCACCATCTCGACGACGACGACGTGCTCACATAGAGTTGAACGAGCGGTGATCGATCGAGTTGACTGTGCAACAAGCAAGTGCTTTTATGTCCTCGGGTACGACTGGTACGATCGAGTGCTCAGTCCCTCGCCGGTCATGCATCTTCCTCTAGCTCTAGCAGTATTTTTAGGTCCCTGATGATGAACATACACGCCAGTAAGGCCTATTGATCGGTTCACGTAGAAACGCACGCGATTCTCTCTGGTGCCATAAAAGGACCGTACTTGGAACCAGCTGGACTCCGGGCATATATACTCCGGGCATTTGTACTGGCAATTTCTCTAGTGCCATAAAAGGACCGTACATGTGTCTCTCTCTCGATCTGCACCGCAGTAGATGACAATTTTGCAGAGTTATGTCGGTGTTTTTTTTATTATTGCGCGTCTGGCTCTGATGATGTGCTAAGCGGACATGAGGTTTATACTGGTTCGGGCAGAATGTCCTACGTCCAGTTCGTTGCTGCTGCTCGTGTTACTAGCACTGAAAAGTTTGTAGTATAGGTTATAAACAGGTGAGAGAGGGACGGGTCCCAAGTCTCTGGTGGAAAGAACGAATGGGTACCGAAAGCTGGGTCGCTGCTTAGCTATGTGTTCGAGCTAGGTCGCTGCTTAGCTATGTGTTCGAGGTTCGATGCTAGTGCTCTTGATCTGATGCGGTGCGGTGAACCGATGCCCTTTAATGGGACGCCCTACTTTCCCTTTTATAGGCCAAGGAAAAGCACGTGTTACAATGGGAGAAAAAAGGAGAACGAGAGGCAGAGGAAGTCCTTCAGGGTCGCCAGGGCTTCTTTTTCCTCTGTGCGTGCCCCGCTGACACGGTAGTGGTGACAGGGACAGCTCCACGCCGGGCGCCTGTCATGTGACGATGCCATGCCCTGGCATTGTCAGCGGGTCGTCACGTCCCCCTCCGCCCCCGGACGGCGGCGCGGCGCACCAGCGTGCTGATCAGCGGCCATACATGGAGTAGGCAGCATAGTGACCACGCGTCCGTCACTGTGGTCGATGTGAGTTCCCTAGAATGACATGTCGTGGGGACGGGTCATGCTGAGACATGACCGCTCCCGCACAATGCCAGAAGTTTGACCTTGGGTCGTACTTTCTGGACCGTAGTGGTTGACGGCGGCGTGAGCTTCCGTTAGGATCCGTGCTCGAGGGATCGGGCGAGGCGGAGCCAGCATTCAGACGTCGGACGAGGCGGAGCCAGCCCTCAGACGTCGTGCGAGCAGGAGCCAGCCCTCAGACGTCGTGCGAGGCGGAGCCAGCCCTCAGACGTCGGGCGAGGCGGAGCCATCCCTCAAGGGTTGGACGAGGCGGAGTCCGCGGCCTCGGTGGTCGGCAAGAGCTGGAGCCAACCCTCGGAGGTCACCCGAGGCGGAGCCAACCCTCGGGGGTCAGCCGAAGAGGAGCCCATCAAGAGGCGTAGTCGTGCTCTTGATCACTCGGATGAATCAACATTGACGGTTATTAGCTCATTCTCTTTGGGTATCTAGTATTGCTCTGAATTCGTAAATGACAGAACACGTCCCGCAAAAGCCAAAACTATAGATGTTAGGTTCCCATGAGGTCGATGTCACTTATCTCCTCTCTAATTAAACCACAAAGCTCGTGCGCGCAACTGAAGATCAGCCCACTTGTTTACGGCGATCGAGTGCAATTTGGTTCTGACGGCAAGCTCCTCCATGATATCTTGCGCTGTTGATCGCCACCAATTCGCCATGAGTGTTGCACCCATTGCTTCTTGGATCATGGGCCAGTGGTTTGTTCGTCATCCCTGATCTCTCTGGGATCCAAACCCATGTGCGTGCGGCCCTAGCTAGCTAGCAATGCCCCCTGTTTTCTGTAGATGAGAGATTCAGAGGGGAGCTCCCAACGTTGATCGATCATTACTGTCTCAGCTCGGACGCACGAGCAGTGGATGCCATGCATAAGATGCAAAGGGAGGCGGACCGGACGCATGCCACACATATGCCATGCATGTAGAGCTCTAGCTCCTACGCTATCCGTCGTGAGCAGGCGTTGACCCTGTAAAATATTCCGCGCACGGGTAGTGCAGTGTGATCAGCCAGCGCTGGTCCTGATCTGCCTTGGTCAACCAAATTCTTTCTAGTATTCTTCTTCCCCATACCATTTTATTTCCCCGAGATCTTTTATCGATAACTGCAAAAAATGTATACTCGTATTTAAATATAATTATGCGTGATTCTTCTTGTGATTTTTTTTGGCGATGTATTTGTTCTTAATGAGGACATACTTTATATTCCTCGGAAAAAAGGGACATACTTTAGATACATAGTACCACCATCTGTCTTAAATTATAGTATGTTTTGATTTTTATAGGTACGTATATGTGATGTGTCTACATACATAATAAAAGTTGTGTGCTTAAAAATGCCAAAAAAGACCTATAAATTAGAACAGAGCGGGTAGCCTAAGGCACGGTGAAACTGTAAGCGACCATATGGTCCAATGCAACAGAAGATGTTGACTGTTGAAACATTTTTCAGTTATATATGCACATAGGACCCTAGGAGTATGCACGTAAGGTCTGCCAATCAAGATAGTTACTCTTATCTTTTGGTAATGGTAGGCATTAACAACTCTGTAATGGACAACTAAACGTTTACTAATTCAACAGGGCACATGCCGCGATTGGTGAATTATTGTACCGCTACAGTGCTGCCCGTTATTGTTCATATGAAGTGCAGTGTGTCAGCCAATTGCTACGAGGTTGTAATAGTGAATGACTCTGTATTATTGGCGGATCTAGCTAGCGGCTACGATGTTTTTTTTATTACTTTATCTAAAAAATATGAAATGCCGTGTACCTTATTGATCTTTTTCCATTCAACCAGCAGGATTATGCTTACTAGCAACTGAATGAACACTTCGACTAAGGTCCCGTCTGGTAGATCTGTAGAAGTTGTCTTTTATCTTTCTTCAAAATGAACAAGGAAGTTGTGTAGCCTCTTGTTTCACTGGCTATGCTTCCTTTGCGCGTTATAGTAAGGAGCCAGAGCGGTTTGAAGTCATACCAAACGAGTCCTAAGAATAATGTTACTACAAACGGCTAAGTTGTTGTAGTAGTAGTGAAGGGCTTTCTGTATCCTTGGTTGATCAAGCGGCTACAATAATTTTTTATTACTTTATCTAAAGGAATATGAAGTGCAGTGTAGCTTACTGATCTTTTTCAAATGTGCCCAAGGAGGAATATTCTTACTAGTATAGCTACTGAATGAACAGCTGGACTAACTACTAAGTACTGCCTTTAAATTACGTTAACCGTGGAGCATAAAAAACACTTGTAGATTATTAATGAAATAGGAGTAGTAAATAGAAATAAAAGAAGTCATCATGAAGGTGAATTGGATGGTTCTGTAGAAGCAATTCTCTAGCAATTTAGGCAATGGCAGCTACTACTCCCCTCTCAGTTGATCACACTGCTTTTGTTTGACTAACCATTTTGGACGAGCAGACGGGAGACAAGGGACACATACCCTGTTCAATACTTGGGATGCAAGGTATTATTTGCTTCGGAAGCTAAGCCTACTCTCCTAACTAGGATAACCAAGTCCATTCACACAGTGTGATGATTCTGACCAAGACTCCAAGCGAATCAGTTTGCAATGCATATGCTTTGCAATTCCAGTTTTCGTCAGTAAATAGTACGAGTACAATCAAATTTCCTGCAGATTATCTAGCATTTCCAGTAAGCAGTGAACATTTCAACTTTCATGCTATGCATTCATCAACGACCACATTCATGTAAAAACTGAAGATTGTAAATAAACTCTGCACTGGTGCGGTAGAAAGACTAATGTTAGTAACACCATGTTATGAGATACTTATAGCGACTAGTATTTCCAAGCTTCATTATTGTATTGCCTCAATCTATCTCACAAGTATACCGAATCCTTAATTCAATTACATGAGCGACTTGTCCCTCACTGCACCTCTCTTCAAAACATACATATCTCTATATATATTTCTTACAAACCGAATTGAATGAAAGAAAAAGGAAAAGAGAAAAAAATGTTGGAAACCAATCACAAGAACAACATCAAATTAGCAAAAAGAAGAAGAATTTTGATCATGCGTATGTGTAGTTACGGCATGTAGAGAGCCTCCAATCCTTGGCAATCCACGCTCCAATCATGATCAGTCCCGCTAATCATTCCCTCGTGAAGGCTCAGGGCGTCGTCAGGGAACGAATCCAACGAGTCATACTTGGCGCCCTCTAACGTCGACAAGCCTGGCACGATCGAACACCACGACGACGAGAGGTTGCCGACGACGTCGTCCGTGGGCAACCCTAGCGAGTCGAAGCAGCTCTGATCCATGGCGAAGTTGAGCTCACCGAACGCAGCTTGCACGCTCACGTCAGCGCACAGCATGGTGGTTGCGGCGGTAGTACTAGCCGTACTCGAGGGGCCAGCGCTGCTCACTGGCCCGCCTGACCACTCACCAAACCCGTCGTGGCACGGATCGAACTGCAGCGTTGCCAGAACGCCGGGGCTCAGGTCGCTGGACGCGCTGAACGTGTCGAACGCCTCGTCGACCTGCCCTGCCGACTCCGGCGTCACGGCACTGACACCTTCCTCCGCCGGCGGGTGGTTGAGAAACTTGGCGTACAGCATTGCGAGATCAATGGTGGAGCCATCGGCAGCAGTGGGCACGCCGCCGGGCATCGCCTGGCCAGCTGGGTTCGACGGGTTGCCGACCATGCCTTCCAGGACCAGGTCCGGCCGGACAGGGCCCGGGAACCGGTGGCCGAACGCCGCATCGCGGCCGCCGCCGCTCGCGATGGAGTCCGCCGCCGACCGCAAGGACGACTTGCCCCGTCGGTTCTTCCGGCACCCCCCGCCGACGGGCACGTTCCGGAGGGAGCCGCCCTTGGTCCAGTAGCGGCGGCAGCCCTTGCAGAAGTAGCGCGGCTGGCTGAGGCTGTAGTTGTTGTAGTAGCAGAACTTGGTGTTGGGCGAGTCGCAGCGCGGGCAGTTGGGCGCCGCCTCGCCGCCCAGCTTGTACCGCCGGTCCACCAGCAGCGACGGCGGCGGCCCCGGCGCATACGGCAGCATGGCCTCGTGGTGTGAAGACAACATGTTAGCTAGCTAGACCACCACGTACGCGGTGGTGGTCAGAGCTGGAGCTTGGAGCGAGCAGCTGGGAGGATCTTCGCCAAGAATGTTGTGATGTGAGAGGGATCGTCGGAGGTGACCTTGGAGACGCCAGAGATTCGATGAGAGATGGGGGCGTGGGGCGATCGAGGGCGAGGTGGTGGGGTTTTTATACGGTGGTCGTAGCTCTGGCGGGGAGCTTTTCCTGGTCCAGCTCCCGCCGTGCATGTGCATGTGAGTTTACGCCCGAGTAGAAGTGACGAGATGAGGCGGCTACGGGCCTGCTAGGCGTGGTCGGTGTGGCGGAGCCGTCCGTTGTGCCGTGGCCAGGCCGGAGCGGAACACGGTGCTGTGCTGCGGACCGCGGTGGGCGCGGCTGCACGTGCCGTGGCCGGGCAGGACGCGCGGTGGCCCGGGGCTCACGTGACGGCGCCTCCGGACTGGTGGGGTGCGAGGGAAGCAAATCCCTCGGGATCGCCTACGACTTTGTTATTGGTTTCCCGAGGGAGAGCCCGCCCGTCGGCCCTTCGGCTTCGACGGGTACGCTCCGGTGGGGGGCGGGATCTGCTCGATCACACACGGTTAATCCACCGGGACGCAACGCCATGCGCTGCCCCGGTCGACTCGTGTGCTGGCGCATAGGGCAGTGTGCCGCGGGTGGCCACTGCACTCGCATACTCGCTGGACTGTGCGGGTCAATTCTTACCCGTCTTCTGATCAGCGATTCCTACTGACACTTTCGTCGTATAGGATTGCTACTGTCGTAGCTGGGAAGGATCGGAGACAGAACAAGCTTTCATCTGATCACGTAATTAATCGGTGGTTTTCAATAGGCCAGGGAGTATTAGATACCAGTCATTATTACGCTGAGGTAGACCCGAGCTTCGAAACATATGCATGATGTAGAAAGAACAGGAGCAGGATCGATGTGGTTGACTGGAGCAGACAGTTACGTGCGCTGCCGATCGCCTGGCGCCCGGCGAGGCCGTACGTCGGCGGGGCCTGCAGCTAGCCCTGATACAGTAACCTGATACCACGACACGGCATCTAACAGGGGAAGGCTGCCGCGTACGCGCACAGTGCAGAGCGAGCGAGCACGACGTGACAACTCACTGCTGCTCCGATCGATCCGTTGCGATCGTTTCCTGGTGATGGTTTGGTGCACGTACGGTGCACCCAACCGGCGCGCGGCACCGTGCCGGCCGTGTCCTGAGTCGTCGCGGCCGGCGTGGCTCGCGCACGCCCGCGCACACGGCTGTGACAGGTGAATGTGCGCACCCGTGGTCCGTGGGGCGTCGACCGATCGCCGGGCGGGCACCGTGCGGTGCGGACGGCTCCCGGGTCTCGGCAAGCCACTTGCTGCCGCGCTGCCCAGCCCCGTGCATTTACCCGGCCGGGCCCGTGGCCTTTTGTTGCAATTGCAGTTGCAGCAGGTCGTCTCTGCTTTCGATGGGGATATCCGGGACAGTACATTCCAACCCCACAGTACATTTTGGATGGACAGTCCCGGTCGGCGGCCGGCTGTGCGCATGGAAAAACCGCGGCCAGTCCCCCATGTGGCTCCGTGAGGTACACTAACCGCTACGCGATCCATCCCATCTCCCTCCAGCAGGTCCTAATCATGCGCCATTAAGGGCGTAAACCGAACCATCAACTGCAAATTTGACATGCTTGGGCATGCGAGCAAGCCTGCTAGCTCTCCGGCTAGCCGCTAGCTAGCTAGCTGTGGGACTGGGACTGGGACTGGGATGGGAGTGTGACAAGTCGACAAGGCCAAAGGGAGCCGGGGTTCGCAGCCAGAACTCCAGAAGCTAGCTAGCCTGCCCCTGCCTGGATATGATACACGGCTGTGCGTTTCGTCCTGCTGTGTGCTGTCTAGCCGTAACCCGCAAGCACGCGAATTAATACTGGCGGATCCGCCGATCCATCGGCCTCGCACGACGAGAATGGATTGCTTGCACGGCCTCCGGCGGCCGTGCTATGATTGGGGGCCGCGCACTGTTACGGCTCGTGTACCGTGTCCCTGCGATGTGCTGTGAACGCCGCGCGCTGCTCAGCTCAGTCCGTCCCTAGTCCTGACGGCGACGCTGCCGGGATCGCGCGGCGACGACCCAGCGACGTACTGGCACGGTGGACAGGGATCCATTGGATGCTTCCAAACTTCATGTCATGATCGAACTGGTATATATGTTTATACTGTACATTGTACCATTCTGGCTGGATAGCACTTGATGATGATATACCGAATGCAAAGTTGCATTGCATTGGTGCAGAACTATACAGTATATTGTTTGTGCATCGAGTACTGGGTATAAGGACCACTTACCAAATACATACTGATTTAGTCTCGTTTGGTGCACTCGTGTCATACTGCAGAAGTCGCAGTGATGCAGAAGCTGCTATCTGTCTTCCAAAAAAAATGAAAGAAAGAGATTAATAAGCTGCGTTCTCATTAGTAGCAGTCATCTGTTCTCATGAGTAGCAGTCATTGGCAGACAGAAATACAAGCAATTCCCTGAACTACACGAAACGGTGATGATCGTAGGCTACGGCAATAGAAAAACTGTGATGTACGCACTGATTGAATTGGTAATCCTGGGCCAGATCAGCTCAAAAGGGAAGTGTTATTGCAATCGACAGAAAGTTGAATGTTCTGTTCCGGGGAAGAAGCGTACCCAAGGACGCGCCAACAACAGTACTGTGGCCTAGGAGATTTCAGTCCGTTCATACAGCTAAAACATCGCCGAACGGTCGATGCACTACAATGTAAGGCATACACGACATGAATTATCTTAAGCAAACTTACTTTGCAGGCTTTTAGTGACGATCTAGTCTTCGATATAGTGCATAGAGCACTAGGCTCTCCTTCAATTTGTTGTTTTGGCACAAACCGAAGAAAGATTTCTAATTATTACAATAGTTACAAATTAATAGTAGAATAAAAACACAGCACATGAATTGGCGACAGGGCGACGAATCTACACAGGAGTGATATACTAACTTCATTGATTGTCTGATACAGTAGGCAGCAGAGTACATATACACAGGACTTATCGTTCAATCGTGCTGTCGTCAGGCCGGGGAAGCCCGGTGTACTTTCTCTATACGATCACTTGACCAATGGTTCGTGCATTATTGATGTCCCACTAACGTTTTTTTTTTTTTTGACAACAGAACTAGAGATGTCCCACTAACGTTGTCGGTATACGTACTCCTGTTGCTGTAGTAGTTTTCCATGGACCAAGTCTGACAGACGGCCGTATGTTGAGTTTTAAAAGATGACTGCTTTTAAGAATCTGTCCATGCAATCAGTAGCTTTAAAAATAATATGACTAGTAAGTTTTCCAAAAAAGTAATTATTCGTCTAACCATCTTAGAGTTTGCAGTGACCATATAGAGGGTTGTAGAAAGAGTAGCGTCAGATCTACCTGATGATGGATGGATCGATTCAGCAACAGTGTTTCTTGTGTAGCTAAAAGGACTGCAGCTCTCACGCTGTTACACTACAGAGCACACATGCACAGATGGAGGCATGGAGCCATAGCTCAGTCGTCCAGTCTCACTGGTGGTTGCTTCCATGATTTTGTTCTCGGTCGCCTGGCTGTGACTGCGAGAGGCTACATCACTAGTAGCTTGCTTAAGCTACACTCCTCTGCAACAGCCTCCTTAACTGTTTTTGCACGCAGACGCAGATAAAGAGCTAGCCTGAACAATCACGACTGAGCACACATTCCAATTGATTGCTCCGTGGGGATCGGAGGAAAAATGGGCAGGCAAAGCAGTAATGCAGGCCGGGATGGATCATGAGTGGCTAGAGCGCAATGGTTGAACGACCACACGCATTGATTGGGCCGTTGAAGGACGTACGTGCATGGACGATGTCACGATGGATTGGTTGGAGCTAACAGGACAAGGGCGATGCGCTGGCATTCGTGCATGGCCGGTGGCCGGTGGCTGCAGTTCGCAGACGACGGAGCCCGGCCGGGCCAACTGATCATCGACGATTTGCACCGAGGCGGCAGGTGCATAGGTGCAGTGCGTGGGCGCGCAAGCAACAAACCTGGCCTCTGGATATTCATTTGTTCCCTAGCGTTGCACTGGCACGACAGATTAGGACGTGGAGGATGGAGGAATAACTTGTGCATGTTATTGTCTGCAATATATCGTTTTAAAAAAATAATCGTTTCAAAAAAACTGTGTGCAATATATGTAGGGATCAAAGCATCATGCAGGCTCGAAAAATCGATTGTTCGCTGGTAGCTGAATAGGGGTGAAGCCCAGTAAAAGGCTATGGGTGCAGCTGCAACCCCAGAAAAACGAAATTAAATTGTTACCACCATATCTTGACCCTTTACGCACCCCCCTTGGCCCAACATACTGCACCCCCCACGGCTCAGACAACACAGACAAAAGCTCAATTGAAATTGGCAACCAATTTTCAAGGAACTAACCACAGGCCACAAGTCTGCAACCCCGTTCTTCCCCTCCACTATTGGCCTTGTCTCGGACGGCGTCGCTCTGCCTACCCCATCGGGTGCCGGCTAATTGTTAGCTTTTAACTGCGTGGTGAATTTGTTCGTTGGTTGCTCCATAGCTTAACCCCTTTGTGCTTAGTTGCGGTAGGGTCGTTTGCCTTTCCAATCAGTGATTCAACGCTTCACGACAATGAAAGAATGGAGATTAGATGATTTAGAAGACTAGATGTAGAGTATTGTATAACTTATTTTATTTCCATTGAATAAATATTTAAAAATAAAAATTAAGTTATTTGTTCACATTTTTTTGGTAGTTGAATTAACAAACATGTTAAGTACTCCTTTTCCAAATTAAAGGATATTTTGGTTTTTCTAGATACATAGCTTTTACTATGCATATAGAATTCTAGATATACACTATGTCTAAAATCTAGATACATAGTTTTTACTATGTATCTAGAAAAGCCAAAACGTTTTATAATTTTG